CATTAATGAAGAGAAAAGTAATATTAGGGCATTTTCTACGTGATTAAATAAGAATTATTACCTGTAGAAAGTTATCGATGTGAGGAGGTGAGCATATTAATATTTCTTTAAAATTATCGAAATTCGCTGTTCATGCAACCTTAACATCAGCGTAGTGGTAACATCAGAACTAGGATAGATAGTGTGTTAAAAAAGATCACTTGTACGGTATGCGTATAGCATAACAAAACTTTCCATCTCATCCGTTTGATTGGAAAGGAAGCCCATCATGCTAATCATGTATCAATAAAATCGTTCCGTTCTATCTGTTAATTCCTAGAGGTAATTTGGATTTCCTGATTCGTTGTCAATTTATATTCGATAAGGTAGTATTACCTTATCATCTAACTTAGAGATCAATATGCTATCTTTAAATATTGCGGTATTACCGATTGTTTGTGTAAAAAGCCAGTCCAAGGATTGGTTGGTTTTTGTATGTGCATGTATGTTTTTATTATGATGGTTTTCTTTCTGTAACAGCTAATTATTAGTGATACCATACAGATTAGTCTTATTAGGATCAACCTGATCTCCTTTATATTGCTGTATTTATTGCTATTGCAATTTTTTTTCGCTTCATGTTTTTTCTTTTTTTTTGGAAAATTATAGATAAGCAGTCGAATGGATCCATGCAGTTGGTTTAACAATTGTGATTTTCATCATTTTAATTCTATTGATAATTCTACATTTTTTGTAGTCAAATCTATGAGTTTTTGAATTTGCATAATTTTAGTAACGTATGGTTGCGTAGTTTCTCGCTCATCGTCGTTGTCATGAAATCTTGATTTTAAAACAATTAAAATCACTCAAAAGTTTTGATTGGTTTTCAGAAACCCACAGGCTCAGAAGACATGCATTTGGTTATAGAGAAATATCGAAACGAGCAGAGCATCACGCAACCACCTGAACCAATTTTGGTGCCGTTCAAGCGATACAGTCGAGAGTGCGTAGTTAGTGCAATAATGGAATTCATAAGCTATAATTTCACAATGGATAGCCCTCCGAAATATCGCGATTGTGAAGGGGATATGATTCTTTTAGAAACACGCGAAGCTTTCGAGGTACTTTCTAGAATAATTTATGTTCATTATTCTGTTGTATCATTAGAACAGAGTGGTGTTGGGAGTTCAGGAAAATGTTCTTTATGTAAGTCATAATCTCTTTAATCAGACCACTAATTTTCACTAACGCTGTTTTAGCTTGCTGACAGATGATAGTGTTGTTTTTGAGATTTCTTTGAATCGTCTAGAAATTGCCGTATCTATTTTAGCTAATAGTAACCAGTAAGACAAATATAGCGATAACCAAGTAATTGTTAAGTTTGAGATTCTAACCGTTTCTGAAATTTGCGAATAATTTATTTTGAATATTGTGATTCTGTCGCTTTTCATTGGATTCAGGCTGCCTTCGATGATGTAATGCAGACACCACTCAAGTTATTCGTGGTCCATATAGATGGTATCTACAATTTCGGACTTCCGAAGAAGCAGGAGATTAAAACATCTGTGGCTGTTAGTTCTTCTACAGTATATTATTCATTTTCTCATATTCTGACCGTATTCTTAAAGTGAATCGTTTAGATGACCAAAATTATTTGTTGTTGATTGTCGGAGAATATTAATTCAATTTAATTTTTCTTTGTTTAAGGTTTCATAAAACTTTACGAAAATTTTTATATTGCTTGAAGTTTAATATAACTATAAAGTTTTTTGAATTATACAGGCACAGGGCAGCGTTTCACCTGATGTTCACAAGATGAACGATTTGGAGGTTGTTTTAATGGATCGGGTAATTCTTTTTCTTTTCTTTTTTCTGTTAGCCTTATAATTTTTTGTAAAAACAAGCTGAATAAAGCATTATATATTAATAATAACGTTTTATTGAGTAAGCTTTTGCAAATCTGACACGAAAAAAAAGTTTAAGGAGACATCGAATTATGAAACGTGATATTCCTTCAGAGGATGTTCAGTTGTTCAGTAAACAACGATTTTAAGCAAGTCCTTTCAATGAGTAGAACGATAACTGATCCTCATTTTCCAACTTGCAGTTACGCTTTTACCTGAGATCTAATGAAAATCTTGATACTTTCATTGAAATTATTCTGAGTATCGTTTGTGGGTCAGAGCTTTCTCGTTCTAATTTTAGGTTTGTGTGTTATAGATTGTGAAGGAGGTCAAGCATGAAGTGGATAAACAAATTATCCAACATCCAGTAATCAATAAACTGGCAGAATTCATGGTTGACCTTGAAGAGCAAAAAGCTTGTGGATCATGCTGCAGTGAACACAAGTCTACTCAAAGTATGCTTGTGATCCATTTCTCTTTCATTTGCAATTGAAGTGTGATTAGTTGAAGCTTCCATTATGTCAATCTTGTTGAATATGGTTCGTATGTTTTCTTTGTAGGGTAGATGCATGACCTTGTTTGACATTGTCATTTAATACAAATTATAAAAACTTTCAAGTCAGAACTTTTCATTCGTATTAAAATTTAGCATTTACAGAGGACATATCTGATGCTGTTGTTGGTTCATCGTCATCAGCATCATTGGAAAGTCAAAGTTCATCGAAGGTAGCATCTGAAGAGGATGGTATTGCTGTTTTTCAGTTAGTCGACGAAAGCCCAGTTTGGGACGTGAAGGCGATTTATGAAAAAAAGACAATGCCCTTAACAAAATGGGAAAATCCCGTAAGTTCAAATTTAATGATTTGGTAACAAATTGGTATGTAGAAGGTCTCAGAAATACTTTTAGGTAGGGACTGAAAAAAAATTTGGGTCTTATTCCGCATCTGCTGCAAACCTAGCAAGCTTTAATTGATTACTAACGGTACTTGATATGTTTATTTGCCATTTGTCGACGTTTTCTTTCTGATTGCGGCAAAGATTGAGGGTTAATTCTCCTTCTTTGGTTCTGTTTCTTGTCGATTTTTTAATTCGCTTTACTTCTCACACTGAGGCAATAAAATCTCAAACTTTGGTAATTCTTTATTCCGATAAATTTTACAGCATCGAACTCAACAATTACTATATTAATACGATAAATTCAATGACGATATCAATAAGAAAAAAGAGATCCAATGATGTCCGATATTCCAACCAACAGACCCAATTCAAATACATTTCTAAAATGTTTTTGATGTTCAGGACTCTGTGCTTCCTGGAGTGGAGGGCTCTGGCACGGTCCTAAGATTACAAGAATTATCGTCTTTGTTAGCGCACATTGGTGTATCACTCTTTGTTAACACACATGTAAAGCAATGAGCACGTTTTTGTTTAAATTTTACTATAAATCACACATACAACACAGCGATTTCAATTTTCAACAAAGGGGACTACTGTTCTTTTGTTTCCACTCGCGGTTTTAGTGATGTCATTAGACGAATTAATCTATTGATCAAGTTGACAATTTCCATAAAAAGAGCTCAATGTTTTAGAGCTCATCTGATCTGGTGAAAACTGTACGTGAAGGAGAAGGGATTTTCTCTAAACGATGGGTTCTTCGCCGATTTGCTTGCAGAAGATGGGAAAATGTTTCGGTAGTTTTCTAATTCTCGTAGTTTGCAAACAGAACTGTAGTATTAGTTCTAGACATATACTTTCTTAGTATAAAGTGCGCAATGTGTACTGTCGGTTGATGTTCGTGAAATCAAAGGGACAGCATATGATATTGCATCTGCATTGGCTTATTTAACTTATTTTTCTCCGGGTCTTTTTAAAGTTTTCAAAATGTATAAGTGGAAAGTATCAAGAAATATTTTCGATTTTGATTCTGCTACTAATTTTTGTATCTTGATTAGTTAACATATTTTGTCTAAGGATAGCTATTCAAATGGTGTCTTTCCAGAATTTGGTTGCTGATTTCATAGAATAATCATTTACCGTCAATGATTACGAAATTATGGGGAAGGAATAAAGTTGTAAGCGTTAAATGGGACTCACTCCCTTTAGTTTTCATTTAATAAATTAATTAGCTAATAATAATTCAGGGCTTATCACAGTTATTTAGTACACATTCTTTTTCCAACTTCTGCTTCAGATAATTAATGAAACGATACCTGATACGCTAGAAATATGTCGTTCAAAGGTGATTGTAACGAATTTGCCAGAAAAAGGCCAAATTGTTGATTTCACTGTATGGGTGAAATGCTCGGCTTCAACGGGATACTTCTGTGCAACTTGGCGGCTTCATAAATTGATTGAGAATGGTAGAAATTCGATTCCTGAGGGACCAAGACTGGTGTTTGAGATCTTTGTGAATCCATTCATTGATGAGAACTTCGCAATCGAAAGGCCTGTCTTTACTAATGTATGTTTTGTTTTGCCACTGATTTTTTCTCACAGCTATAAATCTAATTGTATTCCGGGATTAAAGATGTATCGAGCAGGTAACGATCCAAAATATCACTTCTGGGTACGGAGTTTCATAACGATGCTAGATATTGATATTACTAATCGGAACTCGATATAACATTAAAGAAGATGGCAGGGTTAACTCTTTTTATTCTGTATTGATCTACCTTAACCATCGCACCTTGTTTTGCACTTTTTTTAAAAATCTCTACAAGCCGATACATGACAAAGATAATTGAAATAATTATAAACGTATCACAGGAATTGGATTGGTTTTCATATTATGCCATAGTCAGGAATAAGGAAAAAAATGTCGATGTTACGTTTTTTTTTTTTTTTTTTTTTTGGCTGTCATTCATGACTATATTTTGATTTCGGCTAATGTCCTTCAATGTCGTTGGTAGAGTCTATCTGAAATAAAAACAATCTCAGGAATGTTTTCGACTTGGAAACCATTTGCGTGGTTTCAAGGTATTTGACTCAAAAACTGTGCAACTCGTATATGTACTTGGATACACAGATTTTAAAGTTCAAAAGTCGTAAATTTCAGGTTGTTCACGAACCAGGAGGGTTTACACGTTCTGAATTTTAGGATACTCGAGAATTGGAGGAATTAACGAGCACTGGATCTGTTTCAGCATCTGATTATGAAGTGATTGATGGTGGGGATACTGTGGACGATTCTGATGAGAAGTAGTGATCGAATTTAGCAAGATTTAATAGCCAGAATTTCATTTGTTTAGTTGGGTATGGTTGTGTGTTTCATGAAATTTTTTGAATGAAATATAAGGAGAAGTATATGTACGTTTAAAGTTGTCCTACAGTTCTGTGTCATATCATAATTTATTGTCTTCGGAAAGTGTACATTTTATATTAATAACATATCATTAATAATCTGTAGATGACAGATTGCTGAATTCTTTTTCAAAGTTGAAGGTACGGAGTTTTAATTGTTGAGATTTGGTACGGATTGATTTTTAATGCTTGGTTTTCATTTTAGACTTCATTTTAACTAAGCTGTTCTTTATCGCCTTGTATTATATGATTTCTTTTTGATTTTATAGACTCACTTTAAGAGTTTTGAACATCCAAACATAAACTATACTTGATCCTTGGACGCCATTTTTTGAAGGTCAGTGTATTTTACATCTGCATTATCCGCATACTCCGCTGTGATTGAATTGGCCTACATGTTTTTTCCTGTACATTATGACCTCCATACTGTATACTTTGTATTCCTGATGTAGCATAACTGACGTTTACAATGTTTCCTGTATATTTCGCTGCGCTACAGCTGACCTTTATACCGTCTGTCTGTATGTGCTGCTGCGATTGTTGACAAGACCCACATTTTATTTCCTGTACATTTCACTGCGGTATGACTTATCCCGAAGAAGTCTTTCTACTTATTCCTCAACTGCTTCCCTTTACTTAAGATTTTTGGTAGCCGGAATATCTCGGTTTCTTTTTTGTGTGTGTATTTTTTTTTTAGATCTTTGCTGAGCTAGCGACATAGAGTGATAGTCTCAAATCGACTCAATTTTTGATCATTTCGATTAGTTTGCTTGTCTTTCTATCAAAGGTTATACCACAGTGACTGTCGATTTCAGTTTAATGTTCTCTCAGCTTCTTATTTGTCTGGTAAGATGTGCGCATTGTAGTCCAAATAAAGTGGAGCTGAAACTGGTGCGCATTTATAGAAAAGATTCGAATATTCTCCAAGTGTACTTCCGGGAACGTCTTCCTCAGCATCAAGCTGTATGATTGCCAATGTCATATCGCCCTCTCTTTTGCTATAATTAACAATTCAAAAGGATGATTATGATTGGAAGAACATATCAATAGCAATGTTAGTATAAACTAAGATAGTTGTAACGTATGCTCAAAGTTTAGTTATCTTTTGAATATAAGATATGTTATCAAATAAGAAATAGATAATGTGATATTGTATATATTTCTAATGAAATTTCCTCTTATTTACAAAATTTAATACTGGACAAGCTACTAAAATGTAACAAATACTGAATTTCTTTTCATATGCTAAAACAATGGAATAATTAACCTAAGAATTTCAGTTACAGCTACAATACAATGTGTGACAGTTGCGCGTAACATTGGTACTATGCAAAATTGACTTTGAGCCCAAACATATCCTCGTATACGATGCAATAATCGATAATATCCCGTTGTTGATTGATTTTTGTGTAATACTGAAAATATAAGAAACATTTCATACTTTTATCTGTTTGCTAAAAGTTGATTTAATATCTGATATTACCAATTATGTCATAATTGTTTGAGGATGCTAATTTACATCAGATAACACTAAGTAATAAGCTAATTAATTGATATGTAACTCTTATGAATGAATAGTATATTAAACAAATCCCATATATAGATCCCTTCAAAAATTGAACTAACACATATCATATGATACATTATGATACGAATTATCTAATCATTCTATCATCGAATTATTCATTTAATCCAAATTTGCATAATGTTCAGGAAGAGAATATAATTATGAATATAAAATATAATTATGAATAAGTAAAAATTAAATGTAATAACATACGAATCTTATGAGCCTTCTCGATAGTATGTACATCTTCCAGAAGTACCATTTGATAGAGAGATGTATCAAGGAGAGATGAAGCACCAAAACCAGTAAGTGCTGTTACTCTTGAAACAAAATGTGTTAAATTTAAGAAAATTAATTATTACTAGTTTTAATCATTACTAACTCAATAATTAATTATCACTCTAATAATTCAGTAATCGATTAGGTCTGATAATTAATTATTGCTAATTTAAAAGTTTAATTTATAAAAATTGGATAAAATTTGTAAGAGATTGTTTGCAACCAATAATTATTGTTAATTTCGAGAATATTATTGCAATAATCATGAAATAACAAAAAATAATATTAGCTTATAGCTTATTCAATTTTGAATGGTTCATAAAAGCTATCAGATAATTAATGCATTGCAAATGGAAATTAATTGGGCGCTTGATTGAATAATTAATTATTACTAATTTAATAGTTGGTCATTACTTGAGTAATTTAATAATTAATTAAATTTGACAATATAATTATTGCTAATTTAAAAGTTTAATTTATAAAAAGTAGATGAAATTTGCAAGGGATTGTTTGCAACCAATCCATTAATTGTTTTAATTTACCTTGAATCAACAAAAATAATATTTAAATCAAGACGAGCTCGAAACATGAATGTCGATGAGGAAAGTTTTAATTCGGTAATACCACTTCGTGTAAGCATATATCCAACTGCTAATAAGCCCATATTTGTAATCCGTTCACCGTCACGACAAATTTTTGAATAACCCCAACAACTGATTGTCTACAAATGATATTGCAAAAAAGGTGTCACCTAATTAGTGTGGAAGTTAATTAAACATTCCTTTTTTTTTTTTAGTTTAGATTGTAAAAATGATTGGAGATGAATGATAGCTTATTCAATTTTGAATAATTTAAAAAAGACATCAGTTAATTAGTGTGACACTCATGGGACTTAATTGGAAAGTTAATTAATTGAGTACCAATAGTTTTATTTTTTTTTTTTAAAATTTGGATTGCAAAAATGATTGGAGATGAATGATAGCTTATTCAGTTTTGAATAATTTGTAAAAGATAGCAGGTAATTAATAGATTACAAATGAAAATTAATTAGAAACTTAATTGATTAAATATTAATGGAAGTTAATTTTTTAATTTAGATCACAGGAGTAATTATTAGATATGAATGATAGCTTATTCAAATTTGAATGAGTTAAAATTAATTTTTATAAGCTAAATTATTGTGCAATAATTGTATTTCCATCAGATAATGGTTTAAAATAGTTTAAAAATATTATTTTAAAAATTGCAATAACTTTAAATCAATAATTAACTTACCCAGGAATATATTAATAATTTCAAACATTTCAAAGTATGTATTAATTGATAAATTAAGTGTGAAATTTAATGAAACATTAAAATTTTAATTTGCTAATTAACATAAATGTTTATAAGGAGCTTTACTAGAAGATTAAAAAAAAAAAAAGAATTTTGGATAAACCTTATATCCATTATAAATAATTCCAGCATTTCGTTTAGGTAATACACATTTTAATCGAATGAAAAACATCCGTTCAATTTCATCATTAAATGATTGATTGTTATTGTTAGTGTTATTGGATGTTATTTGATTGATAGAATTGAAATCGGTACTTGATAGAATATACCGTAATTCTGGTTCATCATCACGATGAAGAAAATCGAATATTGATGAACCAATTAATTCCACCTTAAAAAAAAAAACGAAAAAATAAAACAGTATATCATTAAAATTTTAGATTTTCAAATATTTCAATATATATACATATTTTATATTAAAAATTAAAATTACTATTTTTTGATTATTTAAAAATTAAAAATATTTAAAAATCATAAGTTTAAAAAAAAACTTTTAATAGATATTAGCAATTTCGTAACCCATTAGTAATTACTATTAGTGGCTATTAATATGAATTTTAGAAATATAAGTATTAGACTGTTATGCATATGCATCCATTCATGGTGTAATCAATCGAAACAGCAATCAGAATATTATTCTATTCAATGACATATCAAACAAATAGGCCAGAAAGTTATTCAGTGTTGTGAGCCCAAAAATGGCAGTTGGCCCTATGCATTACTAATATTAATAAATAATAATTAATGACAATAATAATAATAATAGTAACAATAATAATAATAATAATAATGATAATAATAATAATAATAATAATAATAATAATAATAATAATAATAATAATAATAATAATAATAATAATAATAATAATAATAATAATAATAATAATAATAA